AGCTTGGAGCCCCCGTGTCAGCTTGGAGCCCCTGAAGCACGGCCTGAGATGGTGTGGACGGACAGCCGTGTGTGTATGTGCACGCGCATGTGTGTGTGTTCGTTTATGTATAGTATCATCAAACTCGTGGCCCTATGGGCAATTGGGGATCCATCCATGGGCCCCCCTGGGGAAACACGGAGACGGCCCCGTCCCTGAGAAGGTGGGGAGGCTGAGGGAGGATTGCCACTCACCAGGCCCCTGGGGTGGGGTGGAGGGCTGCTCTTGGTGCGTTGACTCCCCACACCTCCGGCTGCTCTGTTAGCAACCTCAGCGAGCTCTTCCCCACAGAGAAAGTGGGGGGCAGAGGAGTGTGGATGCTGGAGACACGCCCTCCAGAGCTGGTCCCGGCAGGCCCAAACCAAAGCTGCTATTTCTGGGAGAACGTGTGCCCTGCACCCACCCCCCAGCCCCCAGCCCATCCCTTGAGGGCCAGCTTTTCAGGTATCCTCCGCCATGAGACTAGTCACTGCAAGAAGTGACCCTTGACAGGTGGTTGTGTCTCCCCAAAATTCCCATGTTGAAACCTAACCCTGAGGTGTTGGGTCAGGAGGCGGGGCCTTTGGGAGGTGAGTAGGTTGAGAGAGGAGCCTCGTGAACGGGATTAGTGCTCCTGTAGAAGGGACCCCAGAGAGTTCCCTCGCCCCTTCCCCCACGCGGGGAGGGCACAGCAAGCAGCTGCTGGCTCTGCGCTGGGAGGAGCCCTCAGCAGACACCGAGTCCACTGGCACCTTGATCACAGCCTTCCAGCCCCCAGGACTGGGAGGAACGAGTGCCTGCGGTTTTCAGCCCAGCCTGAGCTGTTCTGTTACAGTGGCCCTAATGGACTGAGACAACGGGCGAAGGTTCCCACGGCCTCGCCACATCCAGAACCTTCTCCTCCCCTGACAGGATCACTCTGGGCTCAGTTCTGAGGCTGCATTCCCTAAGTTCACCCCTCCCTGCCCAGAGGGAGCCAGGCACGCCCCTGCTCCCCTGACCCTGTACCCCTGCTCCTCCCGCCCCAGCACCCCTGCTCTGGCAGACTCCAGCCCACAGCCTGCTTAGCAGCAGCAACAACCAGAGGAGAAATGTGACCACCTGGACACCAGCAGAGAGAGGAGGCACCCGGTCCCTCAGCCCAGAGTGATGGCTCCTGGCACAGAGGGAGGACGCGGTACCCGGCCCTCAGGGGATGGAGGTGGGTGGGCACTGCTCCAGGAGAGGCACAGGTGCGGAGAGCGGGAAGCTGCCCAGGACGACGTGTCATCAACAGCGCACTCCTCGCAGGCAAACGCCGCCGGGAGACTCCACGAAGGACCGGGGCAGAGTCCCCGCCGTCCCTCCGTCTGCCCCGATTCCCCCCTCCCCTTTGCTCTCTTTTTTTCTTTTAACCAGGCTTCTTTTGTTTTTCGAGGATCCCTTCATGTGTGCGCGCCCGCACATGCGTGTCTAGTTTTTATTCCAACGCTTAAATGAGGTCTTTGCTGAGAATTTACAATTCCCCTGTGGCCTCAATCTTGCAAAGATTGCTTTTTTAACACTGTTAGGCCTTAATTCTAATAAGCCTCCTCTTTATTACAGAACCAGGTCACATTGCCTTGACATCACCAGAAAATCTTTCATTGGCAGGGAGGGGTGGGCGAGCAGAGGGACGGCGAGAGGAAGGGGCCGGGAGCCAGGAGCCACAGAGAGGAACCCTCCCTTAATTCAGTGGAATTCTAAAATAATCCAATTTCTGGGGACCAGAGTGGCCTGATCGCCTTAGATAACTCTACAGTGTGACTGTGCCCCCTCCCGATGCCAGTTTTCTTCTTGTGTCTTGATTTTTTAAATGATGAGAAGAGGAAGGGAAAGCAACAGAAGCCAACAGCCACACGGGCACAAGTTCAGGGCCCGGCCCTGGACAGATGGTCATTTGCTCTGGCCCAGCGCGTGTGCTCCTGCCAGCCTGCTCGAGTCCTGAGGGCCAGCAGAGGAAAGAGAAGGACAGGAACGGCAGGCCCCAGGACAGAAACCAAAACCCACTTGGAGGAGAGGCACACAGGTGGATTCGGACACCTGGGGAATCCATCAATCAAACTCCCTCCCTCCTCCCTCTCTCCTCCTCCCATCCCTCCTGCCCCCTCCTCCCATCCCTCCTGCTCCCTCCTCCCGTCCCTCTTCATAAGTTAGTTGTTTTAAGGTTCAAGGGAATATGGAGGTAGAGAGGTAACTGAGGAAAATGAAGCTGTCTCTAGCTGCTTTCTCAGGCAAAAGGACAGCCCCTCCCCACCCCCCCTCATTCTTGCAACATTTATTAAGCACCTACTACATGCCAGGGAGGTGAGAGGCTGTGCCCCTTTTCTCCACTGCTAGTCATTGGAAGTAGAAGGAATCCAAGAGCTGACGGTGCCAGAATGCTCCTTAAAACCCATGGGAGCTTTCTGAGACTGAGGGCTCGAGTCCAGGAACAAGGCCTTCATTCTAGAAGGTTCTGCATATGGAGCCGTGGGGCGGGGCCCTCCAGAAGTACCCAGGCCACAGAGAAGGAAATCAACCATCGTCTCCAGATCCCAAGACGTTCTCTGGAAGCTTCTTTTCCTTGCCATTCACCGGCCCCTCTTCAAGCCCCATCCATCCTGCTCCCACCACAAGCCAACTTGAGAAGCCACTCATTCAGGTTGGGTACTTAAATCAAGGCACCCAGGATCCCGCACCAGCGCAGCGAGCTCACTGACCACCCCAGGCGGCAGCCACCTGCCCCTTGAGCATGGAGAAGACACCCTCCATAGCCCAGAAGCCTCAAGGTCCCTGCTCCTGGCCCTGAGTCCGTGGGACCCCACGGTGCTCTTCTGGGAGGGCAGGTGAACACAGCCAACTGGTTAAATATAAAAATGTAAATCGATGCAACGTCTGATGTAAGGCACCTTGGAAATGAAAGGGCATTTTTTAAACTTTGGTGCCAAAGAGCACTCGTGCCCAGATTGAGGTGCTCACGTGGGACGTTGGGGCAGCCCTGTGGCCTTCCGGGGCCCCCACCGAAAATGCAAGGACGCACCCACTCAGCACTCCTCCCTGGGGCACGCCCCAGAGGTGAACAGTCAGAGGCCCCATGGGGAACTTCTGCGGTATCCACGCATCGCTCCAGGGCACAGATACACGGCTCCTCCAGCAGGCCCTGTGCTACCCACACAGGAACCCTTCCCCTCACTGAGTGTCCCACCCCGAGCTCCAACCACTCGCAAGTGCCTATTGTGTGCCTACTGTGTGCCAGGCACTGTCATGAGCCCCAAGAATACACGACGTAGACAAGAGAATGCACATGTATTCATAGGTTTCCATATTAACATACACAGATTGTTCTGCTGTCTTCCTTTCCCAATCACAACGCATTGTGGATAGCCTTCCACATCCGTCAAAACAGCTGCACAAAACCCACTGTTTGAATAGACGATTCTTTCTTTTAACGGTTTTAACCAATCCCCTCCCACAGGGGGTTTGTCGGCAGTGGGGACCTTGGAGAGGTGGCGTGCCAATCGGGCAGCGAGGGGAGGGCCGCCCTGGGAAGGATGGGCCTGGCGCTTCACTCGAAGCTGGCTGCCAAGTCACGAGGGCTCTTGTGCGTTCCAACAACTCCCCTACGGGGAGAGCAAGGTGGCAGCCCTTGGCCCGCGGATGGCAGATTCTTGGATTCTGCAAAATATAATTGTGAAGCCCAACCTGCCAGCAGAGAAATATGCAGCACATTCACAAGCTAAATATAAATAATATGGATTCATCTGCCATCTTGAATTATCCACGGCACTTCTGTTTTCCATTAGCATCAATAATCACGAGCTGACTCCCCTGGAGATGGGCTACCTGACACTCGGAACGACGCAGCCAGCCTGAGCGCCACACCTCTAGAGGAGCCACAGGCCATCCTCCAGAATAGTCCAGCATCTTCTAGAACAGCCCAGCACCTTCCTACTACTTTTTCCTCCCTCTCACCTACTCCTGACTCACCACCCAGCAAAGAGGAGTGGCCCAAAGACACATCGGAGACCCCCCTTTCGGAGGCAGTCTGCTCTCTTTGGCAGCTGACTCTGGTTCTGGGAAACAGTGGCACACAGTCCAACGTTCACTTCCAGGCTGGAGGGAAGGAAGCTGGTATGGCTGGATGCACAGCCCAACAAAACCTGCAGGGCGCCACCTTGCTGCTGCCAACCCCAGGGGCAGAACCAGGGCCCATTTCCTCTCCAGGCTAGAAACCATAGTGGCTTTCCTATGACCAGCAGGCTCCTCGTCCCTCTGGCAGCGCTCCCCTCCCCAGGCCCTGGGGCACAGAGCGTGCCCACAGCACGGCCCCTCTCATGTACCCTCTCCCCACAGCAGGACCCAGTGGGGCTGCTAGCGACACGGAAACCCACATGGGCCACTCACCAGCCGGCCCAGCCAGGGCAGAGGGCTAACGAGGCACACGGCCCCTTCCCCATCCCAGCCCAGGCAGCTATCAGAATCCCCAGATACAGACTGAGAATCCAGGGTGAGTGGAGAAACATCCCACGTATTCTGGGGGAGACAGGTCCCCTGCCTTCGATACAGGAGACAGGTGTGCCAACACCTACCAGGATCCATCATTTTTCATTCTTCCTTATCCGTGCTAATTACGGCTCCCACGAAAGTGTGAAAGATGGGTGCTGACTGTCAGGCCCAGAGGGAGCCAGGAGCAAGGGCTCTGAGGCAGGCTTTCCACGTCCTCTGCGTGCACATGTGCAGAGATCTTCCAAATGCCCACCTACCTTAGGTACGGCCATGATTCAGCTCTGCCCTGGGCTGTGGAAGGATCCAGAACCTCCCCACTTGCCTTTGCCATCTACCTGACTGGCTGAGCTGCTCCTAGGATTCTCCAGGAGAAACGGAGTCCCCTTGGGCCTCAGCGTCCCACTGCCGGCCACACGTTAACGAAGGACTTCCGGAGGAGACCTCCGCCCCAAACGTCTCCTTGAGAAAACACTCACCCTCAAACCACAGGCTTATGAATTGGCCGAAGGGGAGATGCCAGAGTTGAGATCACCTCCCACGCAGAAACAGAAAAAGTGAGACTGGCGTGAAGATAGGAGCCAGGTCCCGCGAGGGGCTCCACCAGCCAGTCAGGCGGAAGGAATGCAGCTTACCACGTGGAGCGAGCAAGCGGGGACCGGCCGGGAGAGAAGGGGAAGATGAGGCGCTCGGACGGAGTCGCAGAGGGGTTTTCTGCTCTCGGCTGGCCAGGCACTAGGGAAGGAAACCAGATCCCTGTCCCAGCCGAAAATGAGCCCTGAGGTCCCCCTGCGAACGCCCAGCCTCGTGGTCCAGTGCCAGGGCCCTCCTCTGTCACTGCCATCCCCAACACCCGAATTGACTGCCCACTTCCAGTCCCTGCATCCACTCTCACTTGCTGAGCCCCACACAGCCCAGGCGGCTCCCGCCTTCCAGGGGGAGGAGAAGAAGAGCAGGGAGCAGACACCCCACAAGTCGTTGGGCCTGAGGGCCCCCGACACAGAAACCATCCACCCCACGGGAGAAACGCAGTCAGACCCCCAGGAAGGTGGCAACAGGGCAGACAGCTGGCCCTCAGCCTGGTCTCTTCCCTTTTTAGCTGGTGTCGGAGCCACACAGGCAGAGCCTGGACCGTGGATACCTCGGGGGTCCCCCCAAAGCCTGACGGAGAACAGAATGACACCCCTACCCACTCTGAGGGCCTGTCTCTGAGGAGTAGAGAGAAGTCTGGCCAGAAGACCTCTTGGTCTGGCTTCTGTCTCCCACCTTGATCCATCATTTTCCCACCATCCCTATCCATTCTCTCCAAAACCCACCAGCAGAAATTCCCCATCCGATGGCATGGCCTGGGCGCACCCTATCCAGCCAACAGGTGTGAGGACACTTCAGGCAACGTTGCTCTTGCACACACGGCCGGGTACAAGCAAGTGCTTTTCAAAGAAGCCAGCGCCAGGCAGGGACTGAAGTGCACACACGCACACACACACACCCTCCTGGCTGTTAAGGACCTGGAGTGATGTATTCTCTGTTCTCCCGGCTATAATTATTTTAGCGTGGGAGACAGATTCTGTCTCCAGGATCTGAGAAACGCGACACGAGAATACCACACTCCACGGTCCTGGACAATCTCTGCCCCGGCCCAGCTCTTTCCCTGCACCCCGGAGCACAAACGGCTCTCCATAAGGGCGGACACGCCGCCGAGGCCGGCTGGAGGGTTGTGGAGGCCTGCTCCCGCCGCTCCACTTAGAGGAGAGACGCGGGACCGCGCATGCGGGTAACCATGGCAACTTCAGGGAAGTTTAAAAAAAATAAGTTTGCGAGTTGCTGGTTGTTATTGGTGCTTGGGTGGGCTGGGTTCTGTTGGGTTCTGACTTCTTTTTTCAGATAACAAGGTCCCTGAATAAGTTTTTATGAGGTTTCCGGGTCCAGCGTCCGAGGCAGCGGCGGCCTGCAGACGCGGAATCACGCTCCAAGCGGAGGCGCATCTTCTCGGAGCAGCTCCCTCCCAAGTCCGGCGGCGTCCTGGGGCCGGGAGGGCTGTCCTCCGTGGGGTCACCTTGGGTCAGCGCACCTCCCACCTGTGTCGCAGTGCCCGTCTCCTGCCTCACCCTCCCCGGGAGTCCTGAGATTGGCAGTCCAGACCCCTCGGGATCCCAGCCAGGTCCCAAGACACCACTCACACATCTCTCAAAGCGGGGAGGGGGTCAGGCAACACCGCAAGATCCTGACCTCACACGCAGAGACGCACACACATTCACACACGTGCGTGCAAGAAGGGCGAGCATGCGTGTAAACTACATCCCCCACAGAACATCCCGCCCACACTCGGCGCCCCTCCGAGGGTCCAGGTGGCCTTACCTCGGCAGAGGTGAACGGGGCCGCTGCCCTGGGCCCCGACCCTTGTCCCCGAACCGATGGGAGCAGGCCTTCGATGCCAAGGGACAGCCGCACGTGTGCTGACCGGGTGCACGCACACGCCCGCATGGGCCCAGGGGATCTGAGGCCCTCGAGGACTGCCCGGCGCGGTAAGTCACTGCGCAGGCGCCGCACGCCGCAGGCAAAGCACGCGCGCCGCAGTGGGAGCCCGTGCGCCCGGAGCAGAAGGACGGCGGGGCCGCCCACCCCGCACCGCCCACGGCTCCAAGGTGGTTTATCACACATCCGGAGCCAGCCTGAAGAGTGCTTGATGGCCACTGCAAGGCGCCGTGTCACCGCTGCGTGACGAAGGGCTGGGCACGTGGCTATGAAAAAGGACTATTTTTTTTAAAGGCAGAAAAATCCTAAATGGCCCTTTCAGCCTCTCCGCGCACATAATTGTAGTATCCAAGTTAATGAGAGGCCTACGTGCCGGCCGGCTGCACCCCAGCTAATGCCGCAGCCGGCGCCTCACGTGGAGCGGCTCCATCACCCATCCTCGTGGAAATCAGACCCCAGTGGGGAGGGGGGGGCGGGGGAGGAGGTGGGGAAAAGCACGAAATAAAGAGCGTTTCCAGGAATGACAAGGCTCCTACGCGGGATCATATCATCAATTAGCCAGTAGGAGGGCCGAGGAGCACTTGGCATCTCATTTCCACAAAGACAAAGTTTCCTTGACGAAACTGCCAGGGTCTTCAAGGCATTGACATGAGACGCACAGCAAATGAAGAAGGACCACGGCGGGGCTCGGCCAGGCTCTGCGCCGGCTCCTGGCAGCCTGGCAGAAAGGTGTGTGGGTTTAAAGACACAAGCGGGGCCTGCAGGTGTCCAAGAGGTGAGCACACACAGCACAAATGTGCACGCACACGTGCACACATACACGATGCATGCACACCTACAGGCACATGTGTGCACATGTGCCTGCACACACACACGTGCCATGCACACACATATGCTGTGTGCACGCACACGCACTTGTTCGCACATGCATGCAGGTGTGCACACTCACATATCCATGCACGCACACACAAACTCCACTTGATGGTTGGGGTCCACTATTCATTGCAGTTTGTGGCTCCCACAGCTGCCAGGTGCTAAGGAGACGGATGTGTTACCCAGAACTTCGCCCTAAGGCCCTACAGCTCATCCCCCCAGGGGTGGAAAGACTCCTGGGGCCTTCAGGCCCCAACTCTGTTGGAGCTCAGAGTATGTCAGACCCTTCAACAGCCCACTCTGGAGCCTTCAGACCCACACCCAAGGGGGCTCCCTCCTTAAAGGCCCCAGGAAGCGGTCCAGCTCAGCCGCCTAAGTGGAGGTGACTGATTTATTCTGACCGTCCTGACTTTTAACGACACCGCTCTCCTCCAGCCGTGAGCGGCTTTAATTGTCCATCCAGCAGGGTGCGGAGGAGCAGTAAATCTTTCCTCCCAGCGGCTCTGAGCTTAGCGCTGCCTGACCTGCCCCGCCCAGCCCCTCACCTGCATCCCGCTGGAGAAGTCTGCTGGTTTTGAAGGTGAAGGAGTGAAATGGGGAAGGGGGGCAGAGGAGGGAGCTGGTGGGGTGGGGGTGGGGAGAGAGCCAGCAGGGCAGGAGAGCATGTGTGGCCACGTGCTTTGGCTGCTCCTAAGGGGTGGGGGTGGGAGGGGGCACTTCGGAGGATGTCACTGCAGCTTCGAGGGGAGGGGGCTGTAGGTGCCGTACGCACGGGGGTGCCCTGGGCCACGCCCTCCCAGGCTGTGTCTCCACATCTGCCTCACCAGCTCTCAAGCAGCCTGACTCCAATAAAGCGGGCCAGACCCTGGGGGAGTCTCAGCATTCTCTTGCCTTACTGGAAAACAGCACCAGCCTGAAAGGAGCCCACGGGGGAGGAAACAACACTCCTCCATCCAATCCTCATTGTGTCGGCAGTGGGACCCGGCTAGGGGCACAGGGACCTCTCTCTACCGGGGCAGGCAGGCCACAGGTGCAGAGGCCTGAAAGCAACGCCAATCCAGAAGGCTCGGCCTCAAGCTCCAGAGCACACCTCCTTCCCCTCCAGCCAACTTAATACTTTCTGTAATTTCAGTATATATTAATGCATTTCAAAGTGGTGCCCATTACAGTTATGATTATTACCTAAAGACTTCCTTTATAGCCCTCATTTTCCAGTGCTCATTACTTTCTGAAAAATTATCCTTGGGGGCTGAATTTTCCAAGTCTGGTCTTGTGAGTTTTTTCCTTAGGACTTGAGCAAAACATATTATTGTGTCTGTGATGGGCGGGGAGGGGATGCGTGCTCCCTAAGTCGGTCTGCGTGGTGCCTTCTGACAAGGAAAGAACAACGTCGGAGTCGGGGCGGGGGTGCGGGGGGGAGGGCAGAGAGCTCCTGCGTTTCTCGCGTGGAAATACTGATACTCTTAGCAAGGACCCGCTTCTAGTTTTGCCGTCTGTTCCGTACAGACAGTTCTACTTTTAAAATGAGATTTCAGCCTAGGTGGGGGGAGAGCAACATTCACTCTACACGCAGACAAGTCAGGACGGCAAATGCTCGTCACTGCCGCACTGTCCACGCGTGGACACAATAGGACACGGATTTTGTAACACAATGGCAAACCTGCAGAAAGATCCCAGTCATGGCCAGAGGATGCTGGAAGAGGCAACAGAAGGCAGATTCTAGGTGCATTCTTCTTAATTGTCCTAGGAGAGATCTGCTGGGAGGTTGCCTCTAATCGAGCCGTAAAGTTGTCCCAGACACCAACACAAGGGCTTTTGTGGTCAGGATCAGGCTAATGGGCTCCCCGATCAGACGAGGGTCATTGTCTAGCCTCTCTCAATCCCTTTGGCCGTCAGTTACAGGGTCACAGCTGTCAACGTATCAAACAGACTCCAGTGCGATAATGCTCCGTATAGCGCTGGCTGTCTGGGAGTGTTGATTATAATATTACACCCCTGAAAATAATAATTCTCACCTCAAATTTCTCCAGCACTTCTTTTTTTCTGCTAAGATTCCAAAATACTTGACTAATGTAGCTGTGGAAGGCGCCCCTGAGAGGAAGGCGGTAAGCACTAGCAGGCCATTGTGAGCTGAGGAAGGGGATGCTGGCAAAGCACCGCCCGGCCCGGCCCACGAGGGGAGCCTGTGGAGGAAGCCCCTTGGGCCCTGGTTCCACCTCGCCTGTCCCTGCAGCAGGCGCAGCCGTGCCTAATGGCATCACAGTGGTCCCCTCAATGACGGAGAGTCAATATTCCAGAAAGACAGCACACACTTTGTGTTTATTTCTAATGGGTTTTGCAAAACTCGTTTCGGTTTTTCGCACATTAAGTCCTGAGAAGCAAGAACATCTCCACACTGGAGGCAGGGACGGGATAGAGTCACTCGGCCACAGTGGCTGCCTACAGGTTCAGAGGAGGCCGGGAAGGGGTGGGGGGGGGGGGCGTGGTGTCACAATTCTTCTTCCTTTCCTCCTCCTCCTGGAAAATCCAGCTTGCATTGACCTAGGGCCCCCAACTCTCAGAATCCAAGGTCACTCCTGCAAAGGCATAGAGCCCAGAAACAGCGTCCCTCTCCTTGGGGTCCTCTTGACATTCCCCGGGCATGGAGGCATGGGGAGGGGGTGGCAGCCCATCGAGGGGACATACCATGGGCAGCTAAGAGCCCCTCCACCCTCTGGATGCCCTGGTCAGAGCAACCCCTGGGTCCACACCCCACATACGGGACCTCACTCAGGTCCTCTGCCTGGCCCTAGGGTGGTCCTAAGAACAGGAGCTGCCTGTCCCTCCTGGGGGCCCTTCCAGGCCACCCGAGTGGGGAGGATCTCCTCACTTAGAGAGAAATGCTAAGACTCGCTTCCATCTTGGCACCTGCGACTTTATCTGGAACCATTTTAAAACAACGTCCTGTCCTTGTGGCGTAGGAAACAGTGCAGAATCTATTCCCTTAACGCTGACAGGATGCTCATTCCTCTAATGGGTGGACGGCACCAGGGACGGTGGTTCACATGCGCCACCGGCTGTTGTGTGCCTACTATGTGCCAGCTCCGGTCTTTGTGGTATCTCCCTTCTTCTCAGCTGAGTAAACTGAGAGCTTGCCCCAGGTACAGGGTTGGGGAGTCTGCATTCCCTCCCCCAGAGCATGCAGCAGGCAGCTCCCGGCCTCGCCCCGTCCCCTGCACAGGGCCCGCCTGGCGTCACAGGCGTCTGCTCACTGCGAGGACAGGCTGCGTGACTGCCCTAATGGGCTTGAGGTCCCGAGAAAGGTAATTAACTTACAGCTTGAGTTCCATTTAAATGTGCGTCTAAATGTGCGTGTCCTGGGGGTCAAGGGTAGTTCTTAGAAGAATCAGCTGACGAGGAACAGCCAAGCTGTGGGATCTCAGGGAAGCTCCTTTACTAAGGAGAGTAACTGAATGGAGATGCAGACTAAATGGAGATGCAGACTAGCCCTCGGGGAGAGGAGAGGACGTGAGGGGAGTGGGGCAGGGGAGTGGGGCAGTGCCCGTGGGGCCCCGGAGCAGCCAGTGTGCAGACCCAGGGTGAAGCCTCATTCTGAGCTTCCTTTTTCCTCTTGGATCTCAAGGTGATGGGAAACAAGGAAGCAATGGTGTGAGCCACGATCTCATGTGAAGTGTTACAAAGTCATCTTAATACCTCTGGCAGACCGTTACAAAGCCTTTCTTGCTGTTGCCCCCCACCCACCCACCCCCGCCCCGCAAAGAAAGGTGTGGAGTAGGGGAGAAGTCAGCAGCAGGAGCTTTGATTTCAAGGTGCCCAGAAGCTCTTCTGTACAGACCCTGGAGCCCTGCCCTGCCCTGCTCCTTAAAAGAAAACTTGTAGAAAAATTAGGAGTTATTTTCTGTTTAATCTAGTAGAGAAACCTCTCCTTTATATTCAGTATGGATTTCAAACAATAAGAGTCTAGTGAGAAATTATTTCTAAATGTACCTAGGT